TAAAATGCCACAGAAATTATTCACTAACGTATTTATTGTTATTACTAAAATATATATATCATATATATATATATATATATATATATATATATCACCAATGTAGAGGTTTCTTCTTAGGCTTGAATATGCAGATTTGAAACTTAAAGTTATTTCTTACGAATTAATATTATAATAGTAACACAAATATTGCCTAATCGCATTAAAATAACATTAAATAAATATGAAAAGTAATAAATACTTGTTGAGGTTTGTGATCAAAGGATAAAGGAATAGCATTGCCCTTTTCATCACACATCACTCCTCTAGAGTCTCCAACATTTGCTACGATTAACTTATTGTCTTCCAAAAGAGCGATTAAGGCAGTTGTACCTAAAATTAAAAAATAACATGTGAAAAAAAAATGTTAATCAAAAACAATAACATAAATATGCAATTATAAATAATAAAATATTTTTCTTGATTTTCAATCTTTTACTTTTATTATATTTTCTATTCTTTTTTTATGGGAAATTATCTGATAGATTGTTGACCTTTAATAAAATAAAATGATTTTTATGTTTTTTAAGAAAACAAAGGATACATACCAGCTACATCCATATTTTTCTTGGCAGTTTCTAACAATAATCTATCTGCTGCTAAAACTTCATCTGTTAGAAGCCTACCATAATTAATTTTGTTTCCTTCAATGTAATTCATCAAGTTCACTTTAGGCATTTGCTTCTCACTTGGCCTGCATGGCCTGACCTATAAATGAAACAAAAAATAAAGAATATTGTTTATTAGATTTGTTTATTAGAATTGTTTATTAGATTAGATTGAATGTCGTTTATAAGTCCATATATCTTTTAATCAATCGTTTATAGTATATTCTACCTCTCTTGTAATTGGTGTTATGCTTTCCAATTTATTGAGTAACTCTGGATCCGTTACTTCAACGGCTTTCTTCATACAATCATCCGTCAAGGATGTACTTGCAACTTTTCGAAAAGATTTCCTTCGATCAACAAGAAATTTTTCGTCTCTTTTATTGTCGTCTTTCTTCTTCTCCGGTTCATTCAAGTTCGATTCATTCTGATAGGTAGGTGTTTTGCCAGCTAGCAAATTTTTCAATTCAATGACTTTTTTATTAATATTGGAGATAAGTTTATCACGAGCATAGTTGGCAGCAAACTAAACAAGAAAATATATCCATTTAATTCATCATTTCATGTTTCTTTCAAGGTTAAGTTAATAAGATTGAAAACAATAGACAAATGCTAATAAATAAATAATCAATACTTCTCCACCATGGCCATCAAATATCGCAAATAAGGAAACCCCAGTATTATTCACGTCTTCGTTCACTACAAAACGATCTTCCATTCGAGCTCTATGTCCTTGCACAGCATATGCTGCAATGTGATCTTTTTTTAATCCCAATTAAGTTTTACTCCAGGATTTGCCGAGTCATTAACTAAGAATTTCAATGTAGACACCTGTACAAAGAAATATAACACAAAAAAAGTAGAAAAAAAATATAACTACACACACACACACACACACACACACACACACACACACCACACACACACACACACACACAGAGAGAGAGAGAGAGAGATTTTGTTTGCTATATCTTTATATAAAAATTATTCTACCTTAATACAAAACTCAAATAAAAACTTCAAATAATGTTTATATGGAAAAAATATTAAAAATAATTTAAACTTTCTAAATCCTTAATTGAAAAATATCAATTAAATAGAAGAAAAAACTGATTCTGATTCAAATTGTTTTATTTTATGACTTTTATTCAAACTTTTAATGTATTATTAAATACATATATAAATTAATATATATGTCTTTAAAATATGTTTGTACCTTAGATGTAGTACGTCCCAAGGTATATTGAATTCTTCCTAGAAGAGCTCTACTCCAAACATCTACAGCCTGTATATAAAATAGGATAATTGCCAGAATGAGACCGCAAATCAGCACCTCTGGTTTTAAGGCATAAATCCGCATGATTCTATAGAGATAGCCTAATGGAGTGTTAATCCCAGCATTTAATCCCGCAGGGATGCTTACAGCAAACTTTGACATGAGCTTCATGTGCGATACGTATGTCTATATAAAATAATTATAAATAATTTATATTTTCAATTACTTAAACAAATAATTTAAAAAACTGGTTATATAATTTTAACAGTTATATATAATTTTTTAATTATATTTTTTATTAATATTCCTAACAAGGCACAAAAATAAAATAATGTGAACCAAGTGATTATGTTTAATTGCTTTGAAAAAACGTGAGTTAAAAATGTTAAAAACATGAAAAAATTATTGAGAAAATTATTTCTTGTCTTTCTCTTGTTTCATATTCGTTTTTATAATCTGTTACATCCATTCTATCAA